CACACACACACACACACACACACACACACACACACACACAGAATCAGTCCAACTGTCGCCAAACTGACCCTTTCCAAGGTTCTCTGGAACCCAAGCCCCGAGCCTCCACCAAAGTCCTGCACCCCTGCGCATAGGGAAGAGGGGCTTCCAAGCTCTGAGACCAGCCTGGGCTAGGACCAGAAGCTACCAAAATGAACCTCGGGTGGCACTCCCCACTACCGTAGGCTTGGGTGGAGGCAAGGACAGTAATTGCCTTCCTGATCCACAAGCCTGTGGCTTCTTCCAAATCGTTGCCTTTTTTTCGTTTTCATTTGAAAAAGAAGACTTGGCCCATCCCCCTTTTCCCAGCCTAGAGGGCCCAAGGAAGCTTGCTAAGTCGTCTTCACAATAATAACAATAGAGGACAATCCACCTAGCCTGGGCAATCCCTCAGCACACTTCTGAAGGACCACCACTTACCAGCGACAATACCTGTAACAGCAGCTATCATTTTCAGCTACCAATTTGTGCAAGGCAATTCAGAGTTAGTTTATAGGACCGAAGTTTTGCCTGCAATACGAAAGTGGCTAGGGCTATCCCACTAGACCAGCGAAGAAAACAAGAACCAAAGAAGCTAGCCCAAGACCTCCTAGCGTCGAGCAGAGTCATTCACTCACTGGTGTGGCGCAGACAGCACGTCTGACTTTGTGCTCTTGATCTCTTAGCCCCCTCTTCTTCTTTCCAGAAGTTCCTCAACTTCAGGGTCCTAAATTTGGTTCTGTCCCACCCTCTGTGTCCCCAACTGTCTCCTCGTTCTCTCCCCTTCTTTCCTCTCCGGTCCCGGGAGCTAATAAACATCATGAATAATGGATGGGGAATCCTGGGACTGTGGCTGCTGGAGAGCCGCCTTCGGGTTGGAAATAGAAACTCCTCGTGCCCAGCTGTGTCACAGCCCTGTGTCTCCAAGCCCAAGTGCCTGCTGGAGTTCCCAGAATCGTAACACGGTGAGGACGGAGTGTGGAAAGTCTAGACCCCAGGGATGAATCTGGCCTAAGAGGACACCCTGCCTTAGACCTGGCTCCTCTCTTTCCTAGGGACCATCAGTCAGCCCCTTCTCTTCATCCCAAAGCACCTTCTGGGTCCTGCCTTGTGGTGGTTGAAAAAGAACAAATCAATCCCTGTGAAGGGGGCCAACGGTAATGGTGCTCACATAGCTTTCTTGGGTTCCAGATGATGATGATGATGATGATGATGAAGACGGTGATGGTGGTGGTGGTGGTGGTGATGATGGTTATTTAAAGCAGTAAAGAAAGCATTGAGTGCTCAGGACACTTCCTCATACCCCAGTGCATGCTGCCATCAGATTCAAAGCTCTCCTCTGCCTCTACAGACAGTCATCTTGAAGTCTCAGTACTGCAGTGCCCACCTGTACACAGGAGGCAAGTTTCCCCCACCGTTGTGAGGATTATTTGGCGGTAAGCACTTGGAAGTTGAAATGATGGAACAAATGTTGGTACCTCTTCTTTAACCGGAAGAGTGGTATGCAGACTCTCCATGAATGTGGTGGTCTCTCTGCAGATGTGAACTGTTTCCTCTCCCTCTTCAGTACTGGGTTTGTGCCACAACATCAGGGGCTGGGACAGTTGTGAATGATACTCCATCTAGCCTCCAATGAGTCACCAGACTACTAACTAGCAGAGGGAACACAGATCAGGCACATAGCTCAGGGCAAGCTGCCTGCACCCCTCCCCCAATCTCACTGTTTAGCTCTGGCTGTCCTGGAACTCACTATGTGGACCAGGCTGGTTTCGATCTCACACAGAGATCACCTGCCTTCACTCCCCAGGTACGGGGACTACAGGTGTGAACATTATATCCAACAGCAACTGGGATTTTTGAAATGTAGACTATACATCAAAACACTGGGACTTCAGAGGGATGATTTCTGACACTGGGTTGATGTGAACATGGCTAGGCCTCAGTTTACCAAAACGAGAGAACAGACTACATGACTGCTAAGTACTTCCAGTTTTAACAAAAGGCCAGCATGCTGGTTTATTTGTAACACATTTTGAGCAAGCCCTAAGTTTCTGGCCAGGATTCCTCAAGTCCCCAGAAGGCAAACAGGTATTATTCTATCTCAAATTAGCTTTTAATTCTCCTCTGTCGTGTTTCTTGCCCAGTGTGAAGTCCAAAGGGAAGGGGGACCTTTATTTTACCTGGCCCCACGGAGCCCCAAGACCCTCTTCTCTCTACATAATGCCCTAGTTGTCTGTGAAGATTAATACTTAGGGAAACTCTCAGCCACACCCATCCTTCACTGCTTTTGTCCCTCATGGGCTTGGAAAATACTGATCAGGACAATACCCCCACTCCCCTCATATCTCCTAGGAAACATCCTCCAGTCCTCTCCTCCCTTACAGTCTACTAGCAATGGTCCCCAACCGGCAGTAAGCTAATACCTAGCAGTAAAAATGAGCCTGTGTGTGTGTGTGTGTGTGTGTGTGTGTCTGTGTGTGCCATTTTGAATATTTATTTTTATGTCACATTTTTTAATTAATCTTTTACCCAGTACCATAGTGAACATGGTTAGAACTCAACCATCAGTCTGAAAGATAAGAAATGTAAATTGCAAGGGAACAATTTCTTTCTTTAGCTGGCAGAAATGCATTTTTCTTCATTCTATAGCATCAGAAAGGCCATTAAACTGTTGAAAACCTATAAAATAGATGTGGTTGTACACATCTGTAACCTCAGCACTTGGGATGTAGGTGGAGGAGAATCAGGAGTTCAAGACTCACATTGACAACACAGGTCAGCTTGTTTTACATGAGATCCCATCTCAAACAAAACAAGCAAACAACAACAACAAAACTAATACAACATGAGTATCTTATCACTGGAGATGATGCTTAGAGAAACTGATCATGGCCTTAACTTAAACATAAACCTATTTATGGAGACAGAGTGAAACTAGATGCAGAGACACTCAGCTATGGAAAGAGGCTGAAATTTTAAAAACTGATTAATCGCAGTCATACATGTACTTATTGTGTTCATACATGTACTTACTTAGCTTTCTAAAGGAGCTTTGTGGTTGAGCCTCTTTATCAAATGTTTTCTTGTCACATTGTAGGAACAGCCTTTTCAAGAAGGCCTTTCGAAAACAGACTGGGGGCAGCAGGGGGGAAACAGACCATAAAGAATGCAAATATTGGGCCTGTAGCCATGACTTGGAGGTTAAGAGCTCTAGTTGCTCTTCCAGAGGACCCAAGTTCAATTCCCAGCACCCACATGGCACTCACAACTATTTGTTAACTCCATTCCTGGGGGATCTGGTGCCTTTTTCTGACCTCCAGGGGCACTGTACAAATGTGGTACACAAATATATTTCCATGCAAAACATCTATACACATAAAATGGAATAACTTTTAGACCAAGGAGTGGTGGCACACGCCTTTGATCCCAGCACTCAAGAGGCAGAGGCAAGCGGATCTCTGTGAGTTCAAGGCCAGCCTGGTCTATAGAGTGAGTTCTAGGACAGCGAGAGATATACACAGAGAAATGCTGTTTTGAAAAACAAAACAATATTTAAAAAAAATAAATAAAAGAATGCAAGTACCAAATGAGCCTTAGAACATACTTTCCAGGACTTACAAACTTAAAGTCAATTAGATGAAAATCTAATAACTCAACCAACCAGTATCTGTAGTTGGTACATGCAAGGGAGACTGGCCTGCACAAAACCAAACCAGAACATATACT